GTTCACACTTAAGCTGGGTTCACACTAGGTGACAAGAGTAACTTAAATATCTGTATAGTAAAAGAAAGGCTACTCGTTTCTTTTCTTTCGTTTTGTCAAAACTCTTAAATTGTTCTAATGAACAGTCTTTAAAGTTGACCTGCGGTGATTGGTTTTAGCATAACGTTTGCGTCAACAGACCTCAAAATTGGTAGTGTGAAACACTAAACGAGCTTGGACTAAATTTGTGCGCGTCTGGATTGACGGCTTAGTTCTTTCATAGAGCAATTTAGAAGCTTTTACGCAAACGCAAACGACGCTACTTGGCGCTTTACCGTTGCCTGTGTTAACCCGTCTTAGCAGCGATTTTCACTTCATCACTGCCAATCAGTTCTTGTGGATTGTCAGTGATACCAGTGCAGTGGTCATCTTCTAAGAGCTTCGAATGTTTACATTTTAAATAGGATAACCTATGGAAGGGTAAATGAGGGCTCAAAAGACTGATTTTTTACGTGGCAAGTGGAATTGTACCATTTGCAAAAAAAAAACTTCAGTATCTTGTTTTAAAATGGGATTTAGAAATTGAATTGTTACTTGAATATTGTTTATTCAACAGTAATTCGTTGTCCTGAAATATTTGCTCCTGAGAATGGCTCCATCGAAGGAGACAAGTTTTATCTCAACCAAGTGGTGAGGTTTACGTGCGATGAAGGTTTTAACTTGAAGGGAAGTCGACAAAGAAGATGTAACGCAACTGGGCATTGGACGGGCATCGAAACATACTGCATGGGTAAGACCCGTATAGGACACGGCCTATCATTTATTTTTATTATTGTGTATAATATTCTTAATAATACTGTTTCTTTTCATTTTAATCACTGCAGATCCAAACAAAAGCCCTTGCATAGTGCCACGTCCACAGACTGAGGTTGTTATTGCATTAAGTACTGGAGAAGTAATTGATCCTGCGATCACAAGGAGGGTTGATCACGGGACACGCCTCGAATTTAAATGTCTTTTCCCTGAACAGTTCGCACTGACATCTGAAGAAAGTAGTACGTGTAACAATGGTGACTGGACTCATACGTCTACCCCGAGATGTGGTAAGCTCATGCTGATATATCAAAACAAAACTCACGAAATTAATTTTTTTGAAAAGATATAATTCATAGAAATATATTGACTGAACTACAGGGGAAAGAAATACATACTTTAATTAGCTTATATATCCATTACAATAGTACTATCATTATTACCGTATAGTAATAACTATCTATAGTTATTGTAGTATCAATAAAAATATAACATCAGTGACTAAACACTAGGCCTAATAATAAGATAACGATAATGATGATGACGTTGATAATGACGACGATGATGATAATGTTGAAGACAGGGGTGATGATTAAGACGACGACGACAACAAGAAACGAAAGCGAAAACGACAACGATAATAAAACGTTTATATCAAATCGTGTATATAATTCTTTTTCCCCATAGTTATCAAATGTCCAGAATTATATCCACCTACCAATGGAAAAATTATAGGTGATCGTTTTTACTTAAACCAAGTTGTTCGGTTTACGTGTAATGAAAATTTCGTCCTAGTTGGAAGCAGCCAAAGAAGGTGTGCATCAACAGGCGAATGGACAGGGGGAGAAACATCTTGCAGAGGTAAGAGTGAACAAAATTACCGCTCAGACACTATTGTAAAACTTGTTTTAGAAAAACAAAATCGATAGTTTTGGTTAGTATAGGAGGCCTATCAAAAATTGGTAATATTGAATCTCTTTATTAAGATGGTTTGTTCCCACTGGTGTTAATAGGATTAAATCTGCCATGGAGTTCCACTGGTCCAACCATGCAGCACCATATAATATGATGTTTGATCTGACAACATTGAGGAGCCTATTAGCAGAGTTAAGCTAAGGCTTCAATCCAGGAAGAAATTCCCGGTCAGTCAGCTCAGTAAGTTAAAACGATGTTTGTAACAAAACAGTCTATGCGAAATATGCTAAATTGCCAAAACATTCGAACTAAATTCAACAAATGAATGGCCAGCGTCTGCATAGAATCTAGGTAAATTAATTCGGACCTATTAATTAATTATAGCATTATCGTATAAGAGAGCAACTTCAAGAACCAGTGAATACACCAGATTCTGCAAGAGTTATTAAGTAGGCCTAATTACTTACCGTACTAAACGCTGGGGAATTCGTGCATGCATTTACTTAGTAACGGTGAACAATTCGCCTCTAAGCAGGGATGGATCCAGAGATGTCCAAAAAAAGGGGGGGGGGGAGACGAAAGTTGGGCCGATCGAAGCAACACTGTCCTAGGGGGTCCGGGGCATGCCCCCGCGATTTTTTTAATGTTTTAGACGCCCGAAAATAACATTTGAGGTGTCTTTTTTTACCTCCCAAAAGGGGGGGGGGGGGGGCCACCCTCCTAAATCCGCCCCTGGTAAGGACGAGCGTAATCATGTATGTCATACAGGTATTATCTCTAGTATTTGACAGTATTTGCCTTTATTTGTGATAGTAAATGAGAGAAATACGTATTATATGTACATGTAATTCCTTACTTTTTTTAAAATACAAAAGATGTTAATAAGGGACCGTGTGTCGTGCCTCGCCTCGGAAATCAAGTAATCATGGTAACGACTTCGGGCGAGATTGTTGACAGAGCTCAACAACCTAGAGTGGATCATGGCACAGTTGTAGAGTTTAGATGTGAGGACCCAGCTACTCACACCTTGGTTACAGAGCCAACGAGTATATGTGACAATGGCTCATGGTCACATTCAGAAAACCCTAAATGCTGTAGGTAACATCAAAGAGTATAAATAGAACAAGAGAGCCAACAACGCTCATTGGGAGCGTAAAAAAACGATACGCTCTACGCAGCTAGTGTAGGACGCCAACTAACGCTTGTATATGTTTTATTACCCAGTACTGCAC